TGTCCCCTGCATTGGCAGGCGGACCCTCAACCACTGCACCACCAGGGAAGCCCATGGTCAACTGATTGCCAAAGCAATTAGATGGAAAAAGATGATCTTTTACAAAATTGAAGGTGGAACAATTGGATAGGCAATACGCAATAAATAAAAAACCAAACCTTGATTCCTACCTCACATGATACACAAAAATTAACTCAAAATGTATCATAGATCTAAATATAAGAGCTAAATGAGCCTTAGTCTCATTATTTTAGAGACTTACAGTTTCATTTTTTTTCACATTTATTTATTTATGGCTGGGTTGGGTCTTCGTTGCTGTGCGCAAGCTTTCTCTAGTTGCAGTGAGCGGGGGCTACTCTTCATTGCAGTGCGCGGGCTTCTCACTTCAGTGGCTTCACTTGTTTCGGAGCTCGGGCTCTAGGCGCGCGGGCTTCAGTAGTTGTGGCACGCGGGCTCAGTAGTTGTGACTCACGGGCTTAGTTGCTCCGCGGCATGTGAGATCCTCCCAAATCGGTGTCCCCTGCATTGGCAGGCGGATTTTTAACCACTGGACCACCAGGGAAGTCCAGAAATAGTCAGATTCTTGACGCATCTTAAAGGTGAACACAGGATTTGCTGATGCATTGGAAGTGGCATATTAGAAGAAGAGGGGTCCTGGGTCACCCTAAGGACTTACTGAGATGGGGAAAAGCAGGTCTAGAGGAGGAAAGACTGTGTTCTGAGAAGCCTATTAATAAATAGGCATCCAAGTGTAGATGTCACGGAAGCAGCAGGATATCAAGTCTGGAGCTCAGAAGAAAAGCGGAAACACATTTGGAAGTCATCAGAAAGTTTCTTAACCCTCATACAGTCTGTCGCCTTCTCCACGAAATGGGAATAATAGTAACACTTCTTAAAGTGTAAGTAAGGATAAAAACGTTTTAAAGTGTATGTAAGGATGAAAACTAATGAATAGATTAAGCACAGAATAGGTGCTTAATTCTTGACAATTACTACGTTTTTATATTGACGCTTATTCATTCTATGGACAAAACGTGCACATGGCACAGTGATTATGAGTGTGCTGTTTGAGATGAACTTCCGCATTCCAGTCCTTACCTCACTTGCTAGCTGTGTGATCCATTCCTCAGTTTCCTTGTGTGAAAAAGGCATAATTATAATACCCACACACAGGGTTAATGAAAACTAGCTGAGATAATGGAGCACAGTGTACTTAGCAAGCACTCAATAAAATTTATCTATCAGCGGAAGAGATGAGGCTTGAATAAATAATGCATTCATCTCATGAGTAATCAGTCGCCTCTTACTTTTGGGAAGGAAGCCCTCCCCAAGATCCCTCTCCGAGAAGACCTCACAGAGCTCCTCCCCGAAATCACTCAGTCGTTGCTCCTCCACGTGCCCACGGCGGTCTGAACGCAGCCCTTTCTCAGCTCACAGGGTTAACGGTTAACTTCTCGATGTTGAAAGTCTTCCCCGGACTGAACTCCAGATGGCACAGCGGTATCTGTGAGCCCAGTGCCCGGTATTGGACATTCACTGAATGCTGAAGGAAGGAGGAGGAACCTCTTCCGGTCCGGAAGAAACCACAAGGTATCTCCATCTGAGTGAAAAGGGTCTCGCCCCGCACGCGCTTGGGGCTGGGAGCCGGACACGCGGCCCGCGCTGGTGGTGAAAGAACTACAATTCCCAGCAGTCTGCGCGGCGCGCAGCTCCAACTGTCAGGCGCGGCCGCGAAGGGCGGGACCTATATAAACCCCTTCTCGGCGCGCAGCTACCCTTTTCTCCGGTTACCGCGTCCTTGTTCTTTTGGTTCTTCGCGTTCTCTGCTAAGGTTTACGCCCATCCTCCGCCGTACCCGGCCTTAGCCTCGGCGCCACCGCCGCCACATTCGCCGGACCTGCTTCCCGAGGTTGGGGGATGTTGAGCGCAGCACGGAGGACCCTGGCCTGCCGACCTGGTCGGATCAAGGTCCGGAAGGCCACACTGGCCGCATGCGCAGTGAAAGGAGCCGGAACCTGTGAGGGCCGCGCCCTGCTCCCCCCTCGGTCCGCAGGGCCTTGTGCTCCGGTGTGACGGGTGAGTAACGCGGGCAGGCCGCCGGGAGCACGGCAGTTCTGGGACTGAAGTGGCTTAATTTGGGGGGAGACCACGTGATGGAGTCAGCCAGACCTTGAATAGGCCTGTGACAGCTAGCTGCTTGGTGATCTTGGGCAGGTGCCTTCCGTGCCTTCATCTAAATTATCTGGCTGCACAGCACATGTTAAGGAAGTCACCTTGGTGGGTATAAGGACAAGGTTTTCCGGAGGATGGGCTTTAGTCATTCAGATACTATTTTGAATCCTAGGTTTGTCAGTTTTTCCATTGATAGACAACTTTCGGTAAGTAACTTAGTCTAAGTTTTATAAAAAATGGGGATGATAAAATTGTCCAGTGAAGATAAACGAGACACAATACTGGCATATAGTAAAACAAAGTGGTGATTGGGACCTATGTGATGTTTGTTCTCTTTTTTTAGTCTCCAGAGTGTCCCAGTAGATGAATTGGTGATAAGTCCTGATGTACAGGATTTAGGTGAGTCTGAGGGCTACACAGTGTTGGGCCTGCCCTGTGACCTGGATTACCCCGTGGCCCTTGTCGAAGCTGCAGCTGCTTCCACATAGCTGCTGTGGTCAAAAAGGAGCCCAGAGTGACAGTTTTCCTTGACGGTCGCTGTTCTGTTTGCTGTAACTGATCTGCAACATTTCAGGAAAAGACAGCTCCCACTGTACCTGCCATTTCTCAGGTATAGCCAGAGACCTTTATTAGAGTTGACACGTTTCCAGAGGCCAGCAGAAATGTTCCACTGATGGGGTCATGCATACAGAGTTAACAGAATAAGGTTTTTGAGAACTAGCTTGCAGAGACCAAGAACCAGCATGGAGGGGTAGATGGGGGTGGGTTAGATATCTGTACTGGGAAAATCCCGTGGCAGATGCTGCAGATCTTGGTCGTGCTTTGGGTCATTGCCCTGAAAAGCTTATGGCATCAGTACTTAGGACCAAAGGCTAGTCAAAAAACGGTAGTTCTGAAGACCAAATGAAGGGAACGATTAAGATCATTCAGGACAATTGTGTTCTCCTTTTAGCTGTGCCAGATTGAAGATTCCAGGATGACTGAAGTTGACCTTTCTGGTGAGTGAAGACTGGGGTCATGACAGTGATGGAACACAGCAGCCTCAGGACCTGGTAGGTTTTCTGTAGGGACGTAATTTGGGAGCTACCTAGTGGGTCAGTACAGCATGTTCCCAAGGGCTATGGCTTGTGGCCATGGGCTCTCCAACTGCATGCAAGAGCAACTTGGAGAGACTTTGACAGCACGGGTCAGCATAATACCTGCAGCTGCCACTCGCCTTTCCTATAGTACCTCAGGACCTGGGCTGGAAGCCTTCCACCTGAGTCCATGTGTTTCCATCAAAAAAGTCAGCTTCTGTGTATGGATCAACTTTTTGGTTTAGAGCTTCCACACTTTTTTTCTGCAGGTTGCCCCCACGTTTTACTGGCAGTGCCTGATACTGAAGTATCTGAAAAGACCAGCTTGTTGCTGGAGCCATGCTTTAGAATAAGGTAAAGTTGGATGTTGAAGACAGCCTGACCCTCCGGTTCCCTTTCCCATCAGATCTGAACCTTGGTCTTGGTGGTCGTAAGAGGAGGAATAGTAGTACTGAAGCTATGCTCATGGTGTCTGTTTATATAGCATGTGGGCTAGTTTCAAACAAGGTTGAATTCTCTTGGAACTTTTTGCCTCCTCTCCTGTAAAATGGGATAATCTTAGGCTTAAAGGGAGGCTGTATGTGAAACTGGGCAGCTGGTATAGTGATTGCTGACTAATATTTCTGTATTTGGGAGGGGTTTATCCATAGCTTTCTTGACTCCTGATCGAGTGTTCTTTTTTTTCCCTCCTAAGATCTGTTACCAGTAAAGCTGCCGCCTTCTGCGATTGTGGATCTACAGAGTTGGGTGAGTTGAATGTCTGCCAGAAGCTTTCACACAACTTCCTTGCAGCTTCCATTAGTATTTCACTGGTATCACCCTAAGCAGTGTAGCCAGTAGATAATAAGGCTACTCAGGTCTGTGTGTAAAAGTCGTTTTTTTATATATCATTTACATCTGGCCTTGTGTGCTGTATTTGTTGGCTCTTCATAACCGTAGGACAAAAAATAAATGTTCACAGTGTGACTTGGTCTGCTGGATTTGCCTATGCTAAATGCCAAGAACACACCTGCAGAGTAGAATGTGGCAGAAGGGACAGCCCTGTGTCTTTACAGCGAGGGCTGACTACTGTGAATGCACTAATGGCTTGAGCTCATGCTTATTGGTTTTGGTAACCTTGGAGTCTTACCCACCCCTCTCCTGGGAGAGTGGTTCTATTCTAGCTCAAGGTATTTTTTCAGGCTGTGACTGGTCCAGGATGAAACCTAATCTGAGTGGACATCTATGGATGATAAATGCGGATATGGGACTGAGACCAGCCCTTAGGAAAACCTGGGTGGCATTGATTAATTGGGGCATTATTAACACACTGGTGTACACTTCTTTTTCAGGAGAGAAACACTACAGGAAGAGGCAAATGAAGAGACAAGGGGCTCTTTGAGGTGGAAACACCTTTTTTTCTTTCTGATGCTGGTACCTGGCATACAAGTGACCAATAAAAGATTCCTGGATGTATGTTTGTGTCAGTTTTCTTGATGTCCCTCAGATTGTTGGTTATTCCCTATTTAAATACTCTGTAACACTCAGAATGAATTATAGTCTCAGTATCTGAAGAAAAGGTTGATCTCAGAAAGGAACAAAACGATCAGTTCTATAATTGCAATTGTATTACTCTTGCTGAGTGAGAATTCAGGCTGAGCGCAGGACTGGTACTTAACGTCCTGGGGCAGCATACTCCGCCGCCGGCGGGGGGGGCCCCCCCGTTTCCTAGCACGAAGCTATAGGTAAGGCTTTTCAGGAGGGTCCTTGTGGTAAGTTAAATGGGATCTCCTAATTTATTTGGAAAATAAATACAGAGATGTGTAAGGTTGGCATCAAAATATGGTTTGGTGATGGCTGACCTCATGGTCAGGTTATATTTCTGAATTACCGGTTCCTATATATAAATGGATTAATATCTACTAACAGGTGGGCTTGGCACAGATGGTACAGGCTTTACCTAAAACAATCCAGGACTTTTGGTCTAGATTAAGCTGGCCCCAACACGTCTCTCAATGGGCCACTTCCTCCCCAGTCTGAATAATGAACTCTGCCTAGCCACCAGACTGGAAGCAAGTTTGTTGGGGGAAGGGAATACCTGAAAGCAGATAATTGCCCACCATTTGGCACCATTCCTGCAGGCAGTCCATGCACTCTGACCTCAAGAGAACCTTAAGGAGTAATGTGCCTGTCACCTAAGAAGTTGGTTTTAGTAACTTAACTTTGGTGGTTAATCCTTAATCCCCAGGAGTGTAGACAACCCTACCTGGATAAATGATTATTGTTCAAAGATAAAATGGAACCTCATTCATCCCTCTCCTAACAGCTGGTCCCTTCATTTTCAAACTCAAATGGCTCAAATGAAGGCAGCAGTATCCCAGGAAGTATTCATAATTTCAGGAAACAGTTGATTACTAAAATCTTACAAATTTCAAAAAAGGTAAAAGTTCTTGAAGTAATCTTTTTTTAAAAAAGGAGTCTCTTAGCTCCCTCACAAAGCCCACTCTGGCTTGTGTCTTGTCCTGGCTACATCACGGCGGGGATCTCTGAAGACACTGTGTCCAGGGGCTGCCAGTGGCAGTCCATCAGCGCGTCGTACAGCTCCTCGCTCTGCTCCATGAACTCCTTGTTGGCCTCAGTCACATCCAGCTGTGGCATGGGGTCTGGAAGAGAAGCAAGGATGGGTTCAGGGGGCGCAGAGGGGAGAAGCACTCAGCAGCCACAAGAGACTCAGTACCCTCCTTCCTCGCGTGGGCTGACAGCACTGCCTTGCAGGCTTTCTATGAGGATGAAAACAGGGTAATGCATGGTTCACACTTGAACAGCATGAGTGTGAACCGCGTGGGTCCACTTGTATGCGGATTTTTTCAAGAGTAAATGCTACAGTATTACACTATCCACAGTTGGTTGAATCTGAAGATGTGGAGGAACAGGATAGGGAGGGCTGACTCTAGGTTACATGTGGATTTTTGACTTGTGAGGTTGGTAGGCGCCCCTAACTGTTGAGCTGATCAAGGGTCACCTGTACTCAGAATGTAACACATGTAATTAGAACTCAAATAATGGCGGCTGTTACTCCACATTTATTAAACACTACACATGTCTCTAGCTGTCACATGCACCGGATTTTCTGGTGTGGTCCTGTTTTTCAGTTGGGGTTTGGAAAGTGATCAACAAAATAATCAAGAACAATGAATGTCTAATGAAAGAGCTTATGGTCAAATACAGGAGCTGAAACACCAAGCCCTGTATTTTTAAACTCGTCTTTCTTGATTACAATAGTGGCATTTGTTCACCAGAAATCATGACAAAATACATAATAGTTTTCTTTTTTTTTTAAAACCCCTAACAAGTAAACTATCCTTAGGAGGGAACTGAAGATGAACCTCAGCTGCATCCAGCTTGGATGAGCCTCACAAAATGCTGAGTATTGAATGAAAGAACCAGGACAGTACGTACAGTACAATGTCACTGAAGTTCAAAAACAGCAAAACCAAACCCTGCTACTTAGGGATGCATGTCTATGTGATAAAACTATAAAGAGTTTTGTCCCCACAAAACCCAATACAGTAAGTAGTTTTCCTTAGCGGGGTTGGGGGTAGTGACTGTGGGCATGTTGGCAATGTTTCCACTTGACCTGAATGAAGGTTTCATGGGCATTTCGTCATTTCATATCAAACTATACATGTTTTATCTACTTTTCCATGTACTTATATTTCACAATTCAAAAAGTTTAAAAGAATCCTCAGTTACTATGACTGATAACATTTTATATTTTCCTTTCAGTACTGTTGGTTTAAAATGCACACACCCAGGGCTTCCCTGGTGGCGCAGTGGTTGAGAGTCCGCCTGCCGATGCAGGGGACACGGGTTCGTGCCCCAGTCCGGGAAGATCCCACATGGAGCGGAGCGGCTGGGCCCGTGAGCCATGGCCGCTGAGCCTGCACGTCCGGAGCCTGTGCTCCACAGCGGGAGAGGCCACAACAGTGAGAGGCCCGCGTACCGCAAAAAACAAAAACAAAAATGCACACACCCAGGCCTTCCCTGGTGGTTAAGACTCCGTGCTTCCAAAGCAGGGGGCATGGGTTCGATCCCTGGTTGGGGAAGTTCCACATGCCTAGGGTGTGGCCATAAATTAATTAATTTAAAAAATAAAATGTACACACCCATTCATTAAAACATTTTAAAATTAACTGGAGAAATTAAAGACCTTAATAAAGAAATCCCACGTACTCTTACTGGAAGACAAATACAGATGGTCCTCGACTTAATGATGGTTTAACTCACGATTTTTCAACTTTACGATGGTAAAAAAGTGACACACATTCAGCAGAAACTGAATTTTGATCTTTTCCCGGGCTAGCGATATGTAGTACAATATTCTTGTGACGCTGGGCAGCAGCAGTCACATGATCACGAGGGTAAACAAGTAATACACTGAAACTGTTGTTTTTCACTAGGATTACAGTATTCAATAAATTGAGAAAATCAACAGTTTATCATAAAATGGGGTTTGTGTTAGATGATTTTGCCCAACTGTAGGTTAATGTTAAGTGTTCTGAGCCTGTTTAAGCTAGGCTAAACTATGACGTTCGGTAGGTTAGGTGTAATAAATGCATTTTTGACTTAATGTTAAGTCGAGGAAGACCTGTATTGTTAAGATGGCAATACTCCCCAAAGTGATCTACAGATTCAATGCGATCCCTATCAAAATCGCAGCTGCCTTTTTTTGTTGTTGCAGAAATTGACAAGCTGATCATTAAATCTGTATGGAAATGCAAGGCACCCAAAATAGCCTAAACAATCTTCAAAGATAAAAGCTACTAGAAAAAAATAGAAAGAATTTTTACAACTCAACAAAAAGACAACCCAATTTAAAAATGGGCAAAAGACTTGAATAGACATTTCTCAAAAAAAGATATACACATGGCCGATAAACATACGAAAGTATGCTCAACGTCATTAGCCGTCAGAGAAGTGCAACTCTAACCATAATGAGATACCACTTCAAAGCCACTAAGATAGCTAAAATGAAAAATAACGACTGTTGGTGAGGATGCAGGGAAACTGGAATTCTCTTACGCTACTGGGAATGGAAATGTTCCAAGCCCTTTTGGAAAAGTTTGGCCATTTCTCAAATGGTTAAAAAGAGTTTACTACATGATCCAGCAATGCACTCCTAGGTATATACCCAAGAGTACTGAAGACTTTTCTATATCCACACAAAAACTTATACACACATGTTCATAGCAGCATTATTCATGATACCAAAAGTGGAAACAACCCAAATGTCCATCAACAAAATGGATATCCATACAATGGAATATTATTCAACCATAAAAAGAAATGAATGACATGCTACAACATAGATGAATCTTGAAAACACTAAGTGAAAGAAGTGAAAGAAGCCATTCACAAAGGACCACACATCATACATGATTCCATTTATTTAAAATGTCCAGGATTGGTAAATCCAAAGTAGATGAGTGGTTGCCAGGGAAAGGATATTGGAGAGTGACTGCTAGGGGTTTCACAGGGTTTCTTCTGGAATTAGTGGTAATGGCTGCAAGACTTTGTGACTATTCTAAAAACTACTGAATTCTACACTTTAAAAGGGTGAATTTTATGTTATGTGAATTATATCCCCCAAAATAAAAAACAAAAATCCCTAACTGGGATCTTCCTGTATATCCTATTTCAGGACTTTTTTCATTGAGAACATTTTCCTATGTCAATATTATTAGAGAAAGACATGATTTAATAAAACAAACAAAAAATCTTAAGAAAAACCTTACCGGACTTCCCTGTTGGTGCAGTGGTTAAGAATCCACCTGCCAATGCAGGGGACACAGGTTCAAGCCCTGGTCCAGGAAGATCCCACATGCCGCGGAGCAACTAAGCCTGTGTGCCACAACTACTGAAGCCCGCGCACCTAGAGCCCGTGCTCCACAACGAGAAGCCACTGCAATGAGAAGCCCGCGCACCGCAATGAAGAGTAGCCCTCTCTCTGCAACTAGAGGAAGCCCGGGCGCAGCAACTAAGACCCAATGCAGCCAAAAATAAATAAATAATTTTATTAAAACAAACAAAAACCTTACTGTATTTGTTTAACAAATCCCCTATTATTAGATATTTATCTGTACTGATATCATTTTGGGATAAAATCTTTCAGGTAAAATTGATTCAATGGACATGAACATTATAAGAATTCTTTACAGAAACATAGTATATTTTAATTTGTATTTGATTACTAGTATTAGCAGTGTGATGGTTACGTTTTACGTGTCAACTTGGTTAGGTTACTGGTGCCCAGTTTGGTGGAACACCAGTCTAGATGAAGATATTTTGTAGATGTCGTTAACATCAACAAATCAACTGACTTTAAGTAAAGATTACTCTCAATAACATGGGTGGGCCTTAGCCAATCAATTAAAGGCCTTAAGGCCTTAAACTCAAGGTTTCCCAAAGGAATTCTGCTTCTAGGCAGTAATACAGAAATTCTGCCTGAGTTTCCAGCTTGCTGGCCCACCTTACTGATTATAAATACGTATATCCTATTGGCTCTGTTTCTCTGGAGAACCTTGACTGACACAAATAATGTATGTTTAAATTCTTTTTTCTTGTGGTTTATAGGCCATTTGTGCTTCTTTTGTATATTTTTTCCCCTTTTTTATATATTTGTTTATTTTGGGCTGCATTGAGTCTTCATTGCTGCGAGCAGACTTTCCCTAGTTGAGGCGAGCGCACACTACTCATCGTTGCGGTGTGCGGGCTTCTCATTGCCGTGGCTTCTCTTGTTGCAGAGCACGTGCTCTAGGCATGCAGGCTCAGTAGTTGTGGCTCAAGGGCTTAGTTGCTCCGCAGCATGTGGGATCTTCCCGGACCAGGGCTCGAACCCGTGTCCCCTGCATTGGCAGGCGGATTCTTAACCACTGTGCCACCAGGGAAGTCCCTTCTGTAAATTGTTTCCAGTTTTCTTGGCTACTCTTTTTTTTTTTTGTGGTACGTGGGCCTCTCACTGCTGTGGCCTCTCCCGTTGCGGAGCACAGGCTCCGGACGCACAGGCTCAGCGGCCATGGCTCATGGGCCCAGCCGCTCCATGCCATGTGGGATCCTCCCGGACCGGGGCATGAACCCGTGTCCCCTGCATCGGCAGGCGGACTCTCAACCACTGCACCACCAGGGAAGCCCTCAGCTACTCTTAAGAATCAACCAGTGAGTGCTGAATCAACCAGTCAGTGGTGAATCTTTTCACATAAGTACTGTGTCCGTTTCTGCCACCAGAGGGATATTTCTTTCTCTTGTAATTTTATTGATTTTTTTTGTGTGTGTGTGTGGTACGCGGGCCTCTCACTGCTGTGGCCTCTCCCGTTGCGGAGCACAGGCTCCAGACGCGTAGGCTCAGCGGCCATGGCTCACGGGCCCAGCCGCTCCACGGCATGTGGGAACTTCCCGGCCCGGGGCACGAACCCGTGTCCCCTGCATCGGCAGGCGGACTCTCAACCACTGCGCCACCAGGGAAGCCCTCTCTTGTAATTTTAATCTAAATTATGAGTTGAGGCTTTGAGCACGTACAGCATCTCCATATGGAAACTCTAGTCACTCCACTCAGTGGAGGTATCAGCATATGGGAACAGACTAGCAAAGGGATCCACCAAGGGCAGGCATTTGTTTTCTCGTTGTTTTTCATTTGTCTGTTTGTTTGGGGTTTTTTTGGCCGTGCCATGGTTTGCAGGATCTTAGTTCCCCGACCAGGGACAGAACCCAGGCCATGGCAGTGAAAGCCCCGAGTCCTAACCACTGGACCACCGGAGAATCCCCAAGGGCAGGCATTTGGGTGTGTGGAACTCTATGGACACATGTACAATAAAGCGCCCTTCCTCACTCTGGAGACTGGGCCTGGAGGACGGCCTGTTGAGCCAAGGGATAGATGAAGAAGGATGACAATCCCTGCAGTGTCCCATCACTGGGTGGCTATTAGGTTGAAATGGGAGGTGTTAGGGAATTCCCTGGCGGTCCAGTGGTTAGGACTCCACGCTTTCACTGCCAAAGGTGCGGGTTCAACACCTGGTGGGGGAAGTAAGATCCCGCAAGCCATGCGAGGTGGCCAAGAAAAAAAAAAAGGGAGAAATTATAACTCTGTGGTAAAGAGCATGAAGTCTGGGGCAAGACTGCAGGGGTTCCAAGACAGTCCACCTCTTGCAACTATGCTGACCTTGAACAAGTAATTTAACTTCTCTACCTGTTTTCGCCTCTGTAAAATCAAGATAATTGTGGTACTTACCTCAAAGCCGTAGTGAAGGTAAAATGAGTTAATACATGTAAAGTGCTTAGAACAATGCCCTGCATATAGTACAACCTGTTAGCTATTATTAACTACCTAAGCTTCAGTTTTTCTTTTCTGTAGAATGGGGTTTATAACAGTGCCTACTCATCAAAGTGTTGACAGGCAGCAGTGCCTGGCACAAAATATGTCGGCTATTATTATACTATTAATGGACGAGAAAGAAATAGAAAAATTCTAAGGCGTTCTACACAAATATTATTACAATCAGGATAATTTCTTTAAAAAGGAGGCAATGCAATGCTTCCTGCAGGACACGGTGAGAGACTGAGGATAGAAAGACAGGGACCCCAGGTTCAACCTTGCTTCTAACTCACTGTGTGACCCTGAGAAGACAGCGAGGATCGCCAGCTCCCCATCCGCCAACTGGAGCTCAATGTCCTGCTCAGCCCATCCCTAGGGTCACTGCTGCCAGAATTAGATGACAGCACATAAGTGAAAGTGCTTTAAAATGCTATGAAGTATATATAATATTCCTATAGGTATAGTTTTTTAAAACATTTTAATTAATTATATGGCATTTCTCCCAATAGATATTAATATGATAATAGCTGCCCCTCCCACTAACAGATTTGCTTTATCCAATAGAAGATGTTTCTTCTGCTGGTCAACAGTTTAATCATTTGTATGAATCCCTCTAAATACATAATTGCGCTCTTGTTCCTCTTAGCAATTTTCCCATTAATATTTAAATAAGCTTACCTCCCAATTTGAAAATAAAAATTAAATTTGAAAAAAAAAATGCTACAAAGTAGACAAGTTTGTTTTTTGCCTGCAGATGTTTCCTTTACAGGATATTTTGCTTACAGATCACACTTTCCCTATGACCTTCTCTTCCTTTTTTTTAAAAAATAAATTTATTTATTTCATTTATTTATTATTTTTGGCTGTGTTGGGTCTTTGTTGCTGTGCGCAGGCCTTCTCTAGTTGTGGCGAGCGGGGGCTACTCTGCAGTGTGTGGGCTTCTCACTGCAGTGGCTTCTCTTGCTGTGGAGCACGGGCTCTAGGCACACAGGCTTCTGTAGTTGTGGCATGCAGGCTTCAGTAGTTGTGGCTCACGGGCTCTAGAGCGCAGGCTCAGTAGTTGTGGCGCACGGGCTTAGTTACTCCGTGGCATGTGGGTATTCCTGGACTAGGGCTCGAACCCGTGTCCCCTGCATTGGCAGGTGGATTCTTAACCATTGCGCCACCAGGGAAGCCCCTGACCTTCTCTTAAAGAACAATTCTTAAAACAGACTTAGAAAAAGACTCAAAGTTTAAAATCTATCTGACATAAAGTTTTATTTACTTAGAAATCAATGTCTGATTTTATGACAACTGTTATTTTACTTCTTTAAACCTTAAACCTAACATCTGTTCAGAAACATGTTGAAAAAAATCTTGTTTTTTATAATTTTGCAAACCTTAGAGACTCCTTTAAGAAGTAAGAATATCTCATTTGAAAAAAACATTTGTCTGAAGGTTAGCAATTCCTCTGGTTTTCCTTTCTTTTTCTTCTGTTAAATTCAGTAAAAATCATAATAAACTTTTAATTTAAAAAAGTAATAATGGCTATTACTATGTAGAAAAATTAGGGGTGATTTTCAGTTTCTTCATAATACTTTACTGTATTTTTCAAACTTTCAATAACTATTACTTGAGTGAGAAAAACATGTAATTTAAAGATATATGGGAAAAAATTAAAACATGAAATGAAAAAAATGAATTTTACAAACTGAAACAAATATAAGGCAATGGTGTCTTTGCTACAGACCTATATCCTGTCAGGGCTCCCTCCCCTGTCAGTTGCTCCCCAGGGTGCTTTGAGATCTGCACTACCCCCTCGGGTGACACTCACATTTTACGCACTGAGTGAAGGGACTCCTTTCTTACCTTCCAATGCATCATCTCCGACTTCTTCATATGTCTGCCAAGAGACCAGAGAGGTGGGTGAGAAGCATGGTGAAATCCTAGCTCATGACTAGGATGGTTTATTTTTAATAAGAGGAATTAAGCTGCTTCATCTTTCCTTCTGTTTTTTTTCTGAAGCCCAAGCTCCCATCCTTACCCATCCCATCCTGGAGAATCACCCAGGTCTCTACAGGATGATGTAACCCAAGAGGGCCAGACCGGCCAAGTCACGGTTACCTGCATGGTGCTCTGGGTATACCCATACTGGGGATAACTGTAGCTGTAGCTGCCTGTGTTCTGGTCATAGCCCCACTGGGCATAGTAGTTCTGGTACTGCTGGTAATACTGGTTGTAGCTGTAACTGTACATTTGATTATATTCCACTGGCTTCACACGGCTCCTTAAAAGAAGAAAGAAATAAACAAATAAGCAAACATTTCCATAACACTATATGACCAGGGACTGTTCTGAGTGTTTTACACAGATTAACTCATTTAATCCCTACAATGGTGCTATGCAGTAAATATACCATTATTCCTATTTTACAGATGAGAAAACTGAGGTACAGAGAGGTTACATCATTTGTCCAAAGTCACACAGCGAATAATAGATTCAAACCCACGCAGTCTGGTCCCAGAGCCCAGCTTTAACGATAGGAACTTTCGGGAATTCCCTGGTGGTCGAGTGGTTGGGACTGCACACTTTCACTGCCAAGGGCCTGGGTTCGATCCCTGGTCGGGGAACTGGGATCCTGTGGGCTATGCAGCACGGCCAAAAACAAAAAAAAAAGATGGGAGTTTTCAATGGTTAGGTTTGTCTCTCTTGTCAAACCTTGTTAGTACTGACTTTTCCCCTTCTCAAGATCTTAGAGGGCTGTTTTTCTGCCAGCCACAAAGGCTCAGGTGAACATAGCCTGGAGGATCTGGATTTATAATGATCCAAGAAGCATTTTAAATTACAAAATATCTTATCACCTTTTCCCTGCAAAAACATGAGAGAAGCGTTTTAGTAGCCTGTAACTATAGTCAAAGCTACTGTTTATGGAGTAGGTACTTGAGATTTGTGCCCATTATTTTTTTTTTTAAAGATTTATTTATTTTTGGCTGCTTTGGGTCTTAGTTGCGGCACGCAGGATCTTCGCTGAGGCATGCAGGATCTTCCGTTGCGGTGCGCGGGCTTCTCTCTAGTTGTGGTGTGTGGGTTTTCTCTTCTCTAGTTGTGGCGCACAGGTTCCAGGGCACGTGGGCTCTGCAGTTGTGGTGCGCAGGTTCCAGAGTGCGTGCACTCTGTAGTTTGGTGCACGTGGGCTCTAGTTGCTGCACGTGAGCTCAGTAGTTGTGGCGCACGGGCTTAGTTGCCCCGTGGCATGTGGTATCTTATTTCCCTGACCAGGGATCGAACCTGTGTCCCCTGCATTGTAAGGGGGATTCTTTACCATTGTACCACCAGAGAAGTCCCCATGCCCATTATTTTTCATACATAGTTTCCTATTTTAAGTCCTGCAAAGTTCTGTGATACAGCTATTATTTATTATTCCCATTTTACAGATGAGAACACTGAGCCTCTGAAAAGTTAAGTGATTTACCCAAGACTACACAGAGGAATGAAGCCAAATTTAACTCCAAGGCTCACACTCCTACCACCACACCACTACATACAGCTCCTGCCCTGACAGACTCAAGACCCCTTGCCTGTCCCCCACTTCCTGCATTCACCAATCAAGGCTGAGGCCTAGGGTCAGCAGAAAGCTTTCTTCTCTGATTGCATGGCTATCCCAGCCACTGCTAACCAAAGACAGAATGTCAAACCTGCAAAGGATCCACTGCTTTCAAAAACGTAAAAAACCACGTGTGATGAGCTCTTCCCAAGTTCCTTGTGAGTTTAATGTCTGCCTGGTGAGCAGGACTCAGCCAGAGCAGTTAGACAGACCATATCTGATTTCCTTAGCATCACCTCCTGACGGGGTGGCTTGATGAAGTTTGACGGCACAGATTCCCTCTCCCCGCCCACTGCCAGGCTGGAAACTGCTAACATTCGCCTCCATGCTAACCCCCCACCCCGGCCATGTGTCCAAGGAGTCCACCTCCCTCCTGACATGTTCAGGTCACTGGAGGTACAGTCTCTCTGGCCTGCGTCTGCACACTTCTCTTCTGTTTCTCCACACTCAGCTCTTACAGGCTAACTCTCGAAGGGAACTCTTATCACCTTCAATTCCCAGTGCTTGAGGACCACTCCCCACAGGCAGGCATCAAATACTGACAATGTTCAGTGAAGAAATAGATGTAACAGAACATAAGCTCCCTGCAGAAGGGACTTTGTTTCTCTCGTTTATAGCTACAACTTCAAAGTCTAGGGTGGGGCTGCAGTTGTAGGGACTCATTATGGTTGACTGAATAAATGGTGACACAGCAGAAACAACCAAAATAGTGAACATCAGAGGAACTGCTAGACAGAATATACAATCAAAACAATATCTTGCAGCTATTAAAAATATTACAGTGACGACAACTGTGCAACTCAATGGCAAAGTGTGTATAATGAGTAAACTGGGGAAGAAAAAGAGTGAGCACTGTTATTGTAATTTAAAAATGAATAAAGAGGGACTTCCCTGGTGGTCCAGTGGTTAAGGATCCACCATCCAATGGTCCAGTGGTTAAGGATCCACCATCCAATGCTGGGGACACGGGTTTGATCCCTGGTCGGGGAACTAAGATCCCACATGCCACAGGCAACTAAGCCCTCGCGCTCTAGAGCCTGTGTGCTGCAACTACTGAGCCCGCATGCTCGGGAGCCTGAGGGCCACAACTAGAGTGAAGCCTGCGTGCTGCAATGAAGAGCCCATGAGCCGCAACTAAGATTCGATGAAGCCAAATGAATGAATGAATAAATAAAATATTTTTTATTAATGAATAAAGAAATGAATCTACCACATGTAAATTGACCCAAATATATGTAGTGTGTGTGTTTTTACATCTACATCTATATTTATACATCACAGAAGCTTATGGAGAAGCCTGGAAAGGAACCGAGAAATTATAAGCAGTCATTTTAGAGTAATGAGAACACTCCTTTCTTTTAAATACTTTCTTTAATGCTTTTATATACACAATAGAGCTCAGGGACTTCCCTGGTGGTCCACTGGTTAAGAACTGGTCTTGCAATGCAGTCGGGAGGCCAGTTCAATCCCTGGTTGGGGCACTAGGATCCCACATGCCACACAGCAACTAAGCCCACGCACCACAACTACTGAGCCTGTGTGCCATAAATACAGAGCTCACACGCCGCAACTACTGAGCCTGCATGCCACAACTAGAGATCCCGTGCGCCGCAACTAAGACCTGATGCAGTCAATAAATAAATAAATAAATATTTTAAAAAATATGGCTCAAAACAAATAATATTTGAAGGAGGGGAGTCACTCAAGCTGATCTTCCATGTATTAAACATTGTTAAACCGCAAAGAGCCTCCAAATCTTTTGCTGCTTTAAAAAACATGGCCATTTGGAAGTTCTGCCCTAAGAGTGCAGCCACTTTTCTACTTTTAACACGGAGTTTCTCAGCCTTGGCAAAATTGACATTTGGATGGCGGGGGCAGATTGCTCTTTGTCACAGGGGCTGTCCTGTGCACTGTAGGATGTTTAGTAGCATCCCTGGCCTGGTCTCATTAGATGCCAGCAGCACCTCTCCCCCAGTTGTGATAACCAAATTTGTCTTCAGGTGTTCCAATGACCCCTAGTTCAGAACCATTGCTTGAGCCAAAGGATGGAAGATTATATGCAGAGAAAAACTGTCTTACATCTGAGTAAAAAACCTGCTTGGAGTTGTAAGGAAAGAAGGGTTTTCTGCACAGAGTGACAGGTACAATAGTGATATACATATTCTCTTGTGTTTGTATCATTAATTTTTTTGGCCGCACCACACAGCTTGTGGGAATTCCCTATATCATGTTCCCTATATTATGAATTCTTAGCCACTCCCATAGCAAGGGACACTCATAAGAGGTCTGTAGGTTTCATTGATATAAAAAAGGCTAAAATTGGCTAAAAAGTGTAACTTTCTTCTTTCTGCTCAATTCTTATTAACTGTATGGATAAATTTTTAACAGCAGCACTACTGGGCAAAGAGCAGGGACATTAAGTTTGCAGACCCAAACTGCTCTTCCAGCATTGCTACCAGCGACGTCTGAATGCATCTGCCTCCCCCAGTCATAGCTCTCTCCCCAGCTACGAGCTTCTGGAGGGGCAGGGTTATGCTAGCTCATCTCTAGCACCCAGCCTGGCAAATATCAGGCACTCATTATTTGTGGCCTGAACTGAATCTCCTGGCAGCCTCCCATTCAGCATGTGGACGCCCTGATTATCAACAACAGACGAGGGGTGTGTGGGTGGGAATCAGTCCAGAAGCCCTCCCTGGCCCCCACGCCAGCGCGGAACTCACGCTTTAGGGATTGCCACACTCAGACGCACTGGTTTAGACCCTAGTCCAACTGCTCCCTGGCACTCTGTCAGGGCTCGCTTCTGTTCCAGCTCATCTGTGAATTTCACAAAACCATAGCCCCTGCAGAAGAAAAACACACACTATTTGGATCACAAATGTGATGGAGGTCAAGCCTAAGGATGGAAAAGGGGCTGAGAAGGGAGAGAGTCCATCAAACCACATGGGCAGGGCTGAGAGCCCCATGAGCAGAGGGGTGCCACAGAGCCACGTGAGATTCAAGCACTGGAGGATCCCAAGATCTGCACAATTCCCACTTTCAGTTCACCAGTCTCTTCCATACTGTCCTGATAGGGCTTCTTCCCAAATAGTAGCTCACTTCCCAATCTACTTGAAAGTATTATTATTATCATTATGGTAGTAGCAGCAGTAGTAACAGTCATAGAAAGTCATTCAGGAAATATTTACCGAGTATGCTCGGTATTGCACGAGGCACTGGGACCCAGCAGTCACAAGCAGGTGAGGTTCCTGCTCTCCTGAATGCATATTCCACTTGGGGGGTAAATGAATGATAACTAACATTTAATGACCATTTATTATTTCCCAGGCACTGTGCTGAGAATTTTCCCAGGATTATCTCATTAAACTGTCCAACAACTTGATGAAGGGAGTATCCACATCCTACTGAAGACAGAACCAAAGTTCAGAGAGGTTTAATAGCTTGCCCAAAGTCGTAGTAGAAGCAGGATTCAAATTCAAAGCCCAAGCTCATAACTAGTACTCAGATCAAGAAAGAACTTTTCCTGACAAATATTGTATGATCTCACTTATATGTGGAATCTAAAATATGATACAGATGAGCTTATTTACAAAACAGAAACAGACTCACAAACATAGAAAACAAACTTACGCTTACCAAAGGTGAAAGGGGGTGGGGGAGGGATAAATTGGAAGTTTGAGATTAGCAGATACAAACTACTATATATAAAATAGATAAACAAGGTCCTACTGTACAGCACAGGAAACTATATAAATATCCTGTAATAAACCATAATGGAAAAGAATATGAAAAAGAATATATATACATATAAACCTTTCCTGAGGTCTTTCCACTTTTAAAGTAACAATAATAAATAAAAGAAGGAACACCTATAAAGCATTTCCTATTGATTCATCTATATTACATCATTCAATCCTTAAACCACCCCACGAGAGATGCAGAAACTATTAATCAGTCCCGTTTCACAGATGAGGAAACAAGGTCAGAGGTTCAGTAACTTGTCTGCTGCATAATCCCCGGGCAGTACTGAGGCTGGGATTCATACCAGGCAGTTTAGCTCCAGAGCCTGTGCTCTTAACCACAATGCAACAGGGCCTCGTTACCACACCTCCATCTATGAGATAAATGCTGCAACCAACAGGGTAGGCATCAATAAAACGAAGGCCTTACTTAGACACTCCTGTCTGGTCCAAAACCACCTTGCCTCCCCGACAGGAAGGGTAGACTTTGACGAAGAATTCATACAGCATGCCATCATCCACATCTGGGGTCAGGTCCCCCACAAAGAGGGAGTACTCGGGGCTGAGAAGAGAGAACAAAATTCAGAGACAAAGACCAAAACTTTTGTTCTGATGAGCTCTTTTGGCCCATTCTAGGTAAATCTTTTCTGGGCCACCTTAGGCAAAAACACATCTGATGGGTCCTTGACCAGGTCCTAATCTGTTTCATTTGGCAGTCCTGGCAGAAGAGTTACGGAAGGAGTCCCCCGCCCCAAGTCGCTCACCCACTGTATAACGCCTGTCTGGCTTCAAGCATTACATGAGTGCAGACAGGGGCACACGTCAGAGGTGCTCAAAACATAAAACTAGAGATTCTGTATTCACCGCATATTTTCAATTCAAATGGTGAAAGGCAGAGGGAAAATGAGAACTGAACCTTCTCTCCTCAAGATGTGCTAACATGAAATGCCTCAACTTTTAGGACAGGCGTCAGCAAACTTTTTCTATGAAGGCCATATAGTAAATATTTCAGGCTCTTTGGGGACACCTCTGGTCTCTATTGCTCTTTCTTTGTCTGTTTTCACAATCCTTTAAAAATGTAAAGAGGGGACTTCCCTGGTGGTCCAGTGCTTAAGACTCCACGCTTCCACCACAGAGGGGCATGGGTTCGATCCCTGTCAGGGAACTAAGATCCCGCATGCCACGTGGCGTGGCATGGCATGGTATGCATGCATACATACATACATAAGTAAATATGTAAAGGGAGTTCCCTGGCAGTCCAGTGGTTAGGACTCCACACTCTCACTGCCAAGGGCCCAGGTTCAATCCCTGGTTGGGGAACTAGGATCCCACAAGCCGCACGGCACAACCAAAAAAAAAAAAAAAAAAAAAAAGTAAAAACCATCCTTAGCTTGCAGGTGATAACAAAATTAGGCCACAGTTTGCCAACCCCTGTTCTAGAACAATTCTTTAAGGAAAAAAAAAAAGCAAACATTATTATTTTATTTCAAGTTAAAGTCAGAATATACAAAAGGAAAAAGAAAACTAAAATTACCAATAACCCAACCACTCAAAGGTAATCACTAAGAACACTTTGATATATACTTTTGTCTTTTTTCTTTGGCTTCTTCTTTTGAATTTACAAAAATTGGATATGACTCGTTTTGTTTCTAGCATTTTTTTCACTTTTAGCATCTCACCAACGTCTTAACATATGAGTATTCTGCTGTGGTACATTAACAGATACACAGCATTCCAAATAATGAACATATTGTAATTTAAACCCCTTCCCTATTATTAGATTACCTGGGTTTTCCCCCAATTTTGCCCATTATATGTAACACTTCAATGAATACTTTCTTTTAAAATTTTTAATGGAGTATAGTTGATTTACAATGTTGTGCTAGTTTCTGGTGTACAGTGAAGTGAATCAGTTATACATATACATATATCCACTCTTTTTTTAGATTCTTTCCCTATATAGGCCATTACAGAGTATTGAGTAGAGTTCCCTGTGCTACACAGTAGGTTTTTATTAGTTATCTATTTATAAATAGTAGTGAGTATATGTCAATCCCAATCTCCCAATTTATCTCTCCCTCCCCTTATCCCCTAGGAATCATAAGTTAGTTTTCTAAGTCTATGGCTCTACTTCTGTTTTGTAAATAAGTTCATCTGTATCCTTTTTTGAGATTCCACTGTGATATCATATGATATCAATGAACACTTTCAAGGTTAACCTTTACACACATCAGTGAATAAACTCTGAAAAGCAGAATTACAGGTTCAAAGGGTACAACTCTATCTAAAGCTTTTGATACATTGTTTTAAAGCTTTCAGACAGCAGTTTGGAATACTCAATCAATTTATGTTGCTACAACAGGTTGATTCTTACTGAATAAAATGTCAATACTGTGGGCAGTCATGGGACTAGGGGAGGGACCAAATATAGAGAAGATATGGGCCCTGACAGGAAGCAAACTGGAAGCGTCCACCAATAGGGATGGGAGGGGGTCGACCTTAGGAGGGAGGCAAAGCAGGGCCAAATTCAGCTCCCCATTCTCCTCTTTGGGAGTGACCAGCACAGTGACGCATCTTGTCTCTATCTAGACATTTCCTGGGACTTGAAGCTACCTTGTGGCTACTCTGTACTTACCTGTTATCTGGCTGTTTCCCATAAGTGGCATAGTTCAGTTTAAAACGTTTTGCCTGGAAATTCAAAAACAAACAAACTAAAACAGAGAAAGGTGTTTTAAGAGTCAAACAATATTTGAAAAAAACTGAAATAAATTACCTTGGCCAAAATATCTCCCCCTCTCTAAGCCTCAGCTTTTTCTCCTGTATAAAAGGAGGGGGTTGCACGGATGACCGCTAAGAGCACTGCCAGCTCCATGGTTCTATGAGCCCAGGTGTGCCAGCGTGGTGCAGCTGTAAGCTAAGTAACTGTGGGAAGAGCAGAATGTAACTCTCTTGAAAAGTGTCCTCACTGCTGCCAGCCTGTTCTGCTTTCTCAAGCAAGAGGTCTAGAGTTTCAAGTCTTCCGTTATGGAGGCAGCAGTGCAGAGTGAAAAGGGAATGGATTTTAGAGGCAACCAATCTTCAGTTCGCATCCTGGCTCTGCTACTTACTACCTGTGTTGCCTTGGGTAAGTTATTCCGTTTCCCTGTGATTCAGTTTCCTGGTCTGTCAAAGATAACAACGCCTACTGTTTAGGGTTGTCACAGGATTAAATAAAATATACAGTTGGGATTCAATAAATGAGTTATCAATAACGATAAAAATGGTGACATCATCATTATCTCAGTGTCCTTACAGGTGTGGCTCCTGGAAGGGGTTTCCCGTTGATTTTATGCAAACACTTCTCAGCTGTGGCCAAATCTGCGAATTCTACAAAGCAGTAGCCAGCTGGGATCCTGGAAAGAAAACAGAAAAAGGGAATGGTTAAAGATGTGATACCCAGATGAGAGACTGAGTCTGGGCCTGAAGGGAGGAAAAAATCCTTTTCTAATCAGAGCCCATACTATTAATGTTTACTATGCAATCCAATCAAACCTTTAGATCTAATGTCCAGTTTATAGGAAATATCAGGAACAGAACAAGTAAAACACCACCACAAGGAAACAAACAAATCCAGAATGCAGGACCAGAATCCAGAATGTAGAACCTTATGTAAGGCAATCTTATGTCTTTAAAAAGTCAGTGTTCTGAGAGAAGAAAGAAGTGAGCTTTTCTACATTAAAAAGAGACAAAAGAAGTAAATGCAATACAGGATCTGATCTCTGACTGGATCCTAATTCATTAAAAAAAAAAAAACAAAAAAAAACAAAAAAAAGCTACAAAAGGTATTCTGGGGACAATCATAAAAATTTAAATGTAGACTGGCCATTATGTGGTATTAGGGAATCATTAATTTTGTTAGTGTGATATGAGCATTGTTGGTATGTAACAGAATGTCCAGTTATTGGCAATGTATATTCAAATATTTAGCAGTGAAATGTCATAATGCCTGTAATTTACTTTCATATGGTTCAGCAAAAAAAAAATATCTACCTATCTAAATCTATCTTTATAGACAGGTAGATAAGAAAAATATGGCAACATACTAACAATTTTTGAAATTAGGTGTTGAGGGACTTCCCTGCACAGTGGTTAAGAATCTGCCTGCCAGTGCAGGGGACATGGGTTCGAGCCCTGGTCCGGGAAGATCCCACATGCCACGGAGTGAGTAAGCCCATGCACCACAACTATGGAGCCCACATGCCACAGCTACTGAAGCCCGCACGCCTACAGCCCGTGCTCTGCAACAAGAGAAGCCACCGCAATGAGAAGCCCGCACACCACAACGAAGAGTAGCCCCTGCTCGCCGCAACCAGAGAAAGCCCGCGGCAGCAAGGAAGATCCAAGGCAGCCAAAAATAAAGTAAATAAATAAATTTACAAAAAAAAGAAAAAGAAATTTGGGGGTGGCTGTATGAGATTTCATTGTACTCTTCTTTCTACATTTGTTTTAAACTTTTCATAATTTAAAAGGTTTTTTGGATCACCTACCACCGGCCAGGCTGATACAGAGTTGAAGAACATGGTTCCTATTTAGAAACTTGAAATCTATTTGGACAACATAAATCTATGGACCTTACCTAATTGGGGGATGTCTGTGAGATTCCTAGTGTTCTATTTTTTAAAGCATCACTAAGAGACATATGTAGGAGGATGTGGCTAGATCCTCTGACATCCCTTCCCCCTAAGAGATTTATACTGAAAACAGTTAATTTTCCTCAACTGCCTCCTTAAAGCTATCACCAGTGAAATAAACCAGACTTCTCTGGAACTATGATACGCAGTTCAAATAACCTTCTGGACACCAAGCCAAAAGGTATGGGTAAGGGCAGTACCTGAGCCCAAGGATCTCAGAACACAGTCTATGAGCTCCATAAATGTTGACGCTTAGAGGAATGGTGGGCCAACTCTGTGCCTTCTGTCTTGTGTGTGCTAGAATCTTAAGGCTCACAGATATAAAGACCACCACCAGTAAGAGCTGAGCATTACTGAGCACCCACTGCGGTCCAAGCACTGTGCTAGCCACTTCACATGCACCGTCTCATCTAATCCTCACATAACTCTATGAGGGAATGAAACCATTGCTCCTATTTCGATGTGGAGACTGAGATTTAGGATTATACAATATGCCTTGAACCACACAGCTGGTATGTGCCAAAGGCTGGATTTGAATTCAGGACAGTCTGAACATTTTATTTTGAAGAATTCCAAATATAAAAATTGAAAGAATTGCATAGCAAACACCATATATATATACCCACCACCTACAATTAACATTTTATTATACCTACTTTATCACATAACTATCCATCCATCCATGCCCCTACCCATTTATCATCCTTATTTTCTGATACATTTCGAAGTAAGTTGCAGATATTGGTATACTTCCCTCAATTACTTTAACATGCTTATTATTAACTAGAGTTCAATGATTTAGTTTTTTCCTTTTAAGGTTAAATTTACATGCAATGAAATGCACATATTCTTCAAGATGCTGAGTTCTTTCCACCAGATTAATTTTGTGTATTTTAGAACTTTATGTAAATGCAGTAAGGCTTCTTTAATTTAGCATAATGTTTTTAAGATTCATTCATGTTGTCACTATATTAGTAGTCTGTCCCTTTTTATTGCTAAGTGGTATTTTATTGTATGAATATACCAGTATTTATTTATCTATTTACCTATTCATGGATACTTGGACTGCAGTTTGGGGCCACTGTCCAATGTGCTACGCACATCCTTTTTCAAGTCCTTTTTCTGGTAGATGCATGTTTTCATTTCTCTTGGGTAAACACCTAGGACTAGGGACTTCCCCAGTGGGCCAGTAGTTAAGATTCCCCACTCCCAATGCAGGGGGCCCAAGTTCAATCCCTGGTCAGGGAAATGAAAGAAAAAAAAAAAAAGAGCCCACATGCCACGATGAAGATCTCACACATGGCAACTAAGACCCAGCGCAGCCAAATAAATAAATGGATGTTTTAAATATATATATATATATATATATATATATATATATATATATATATATATAAATACCTAGGACTACACTTGTGCCATATGGTGGTAGGTGTATTTAAGAAACTGCCAGGGAATTCCCTGGTGGTCCAGTGGTTAGGACTCGATGTTTTCGCTGACAGGGCCCAGGTTCAATCCCTGGTTGGGGAACTAAGATCCTGCAAGCCGTGCGGCATGGCCAAAAAAAGAAAAAGAAAAAAGAAAACTGCCAGACACTTGTCCCCAGGGGTCATACCATTTTATAGTCCCACCAGTGATGAGAGACGTGGCTGCTCCACATATGACTGCATTCTTTTTTTTTTCTTTGTTGAATTTTAAAAACTGCCGTTGAGTATACAAAACATAAAATGTACCATTTTAACCATTTTTAAGTATACAGTTCTGTGGTATTAAGTACATTCACACTGTTTTGCAACCAATCACTATATCCTTCCTTTTTTATTTAAGCTTTAATTTTATTTATTCTTGGCTGCATTGGGTCTTCGTTGTTGCACACCGGCTTTCTCTAGTTGCATCAAGCCGGGGTTTGTCTTGTTGCGGAACACGGGCTCTAGGCATGCGGGCTCAGCAGTTGTGGTGCACAAGCTTAGCTGCTCCGCGGCATGTGGGATCTTCCCAGACCAGGGATCCAACCCACGTCTCCTGCATTGGCAGGCGGATTCTTATCCACTGCACCACCAGGGAAGTCCCCAATCACTATATTCTTAAGCACTATGCTCTGCTCCATATTATTTTTTCCTGGGTCTTATCTTTTTCCCGTATTTTCTCAGTTCCTGATTTTTTTTTTTTTTTTTTGGTACGCGGGCCTCTCACTGTTGTGGCCTCTCCCGTTGCTGAGCACAGGCTCCGGACGCACAGGCTCAGCAGCCATGGCTCACGGGCCCAGCCGCTCCGGGGCATGTGGGATCTTCCTAGACCGGGGCACGAACCCGTGTCCCCTGCATCGGCAGGCGGACTCTCAACCACTGCGCCACCAGGGAAGCCCTCAGTTCCTGATTTTTAATTTACGTTTATTTATTTTACAGTATTCTTATACACCACTTCAAAGTCTTTGTCATATGACACAGAATGCACATGTAATGTGTCTGTAAATGCCACCATAAAAAATCAGCTAGAGTTTAGTAATCAATGGTATGAAAGGATAATTCCAATTCTTAATAAAGATTAAAATGTGAGAACCTATATCACTGTTTTAAAAAGAATAAAGTATTACAGAATGTATTTTCATGCCAGTAGCTGATTATCGGGGTTTTCTGTCTGGAGGAACAAGAAGAAAAACATTTAGGCCAGCATGCTCTACCAGTCAGAAAATCCGTCCCTGGGTACCGGGGTTCTGAATACACAAAGTACCTGTTCACCAAACAGCCAAAAACCTGGCCACATTTCGTATCTCTCACCTGTATTTTTCAACTATTTGACATTTTAGCAAGCTGCTTTAGTACTTGGCACAGAGTAGATGCTCAATAAACACTGTCAAATTGATAAAGGAATCCTGTTATTTCTAACTAGAACCCTAAGGAAACCTAAGCTCCTAAGAGAGAAAGAAGAAACTGGAGGCAATAGAGCACTTCTATCTGAAAGTATTCTCTGCATTTCGTTTTGTATATTTATTTATTACCTCATTCCCCCATTAGCATGTAGTAAACTCCACGAGAGGAGGGACTACGTCTGGCTAGTTTCAGCCATGTATCCAGGGAATCTAGAACAGCAGCACATAGGTAGCATCTTATTCACATAAGAGTTAAGGGCACTCATGAGCTTTGAGAACAGAGCTGAGTTACAGTCCTGGCTTCTCATTTAAAAGCTGTGTAACTTTAAGACAACTGTTAAGCTTCTCTAATAACAGTACTTAGCTCAGAGGTTTTTGTGATTTTAAAGTGCTTATTACCTAGCAGATCATAATCTGTTTATATTTACCAAGCATATACCATATGCCAGACATCGTTCTAAACGTTGAATGTGAATTAGTGGCACTTAATCCTCACCAGAACTCTATGAGGTAGGTGCTTTTATTATCTCCATTTTTATAGGCAAGGTGAAGAGGAAGAGGTTAAATAACTTGATCAAGGTCACACAGCAGACAGAGCTTTCAAAACCAGTTTGGCTCGAGTCAGCAATACGCTATACGTCCTCTTAACAAGCCCCCCAATGCTTATATCATTACAATAACATTATTAGGGGTGAGAAGCCCCGACTCTTGCGATGTTTACCTTCTCCTGAATGACACTTGCAGCGCGATCTACTGAGGAGACCTGAGGCTGAGACGGAAGGAGAGAACATACCCAGTGAGGCGGTTTCGGATAATTTTGACGCTCATCACGGTCTCCCCCATGGTGGCAAAGGCTCTGGAGATGAAGTTCTCATCCATGTAGGGTTCCAGCTGCGTAAACACAAGAGCGGAGCTGCTCAGGCCAGCATCCAGGCTCCTCATTCCCGCATCCGGAGCCCCTCCCCCTCTGCCCGGGGTTTGCTGCACGCTGCGGGCGGGAGTGGAGTGGGGTGAAGAGGCTTCCGTCTGCGGTGTGATCTGAAGCCTGCGTTCCCAGTCCCCTGCCTTCCTTCCCTTCAAATTTACTCCTTTGAGGAAGTCTCCCCTTTGGATTTAGGAACCCCATCCCTCCAGTCCTACAACCACGGGCGCTCTTCAATCCTTGGGATTCCTCTCATTCTATCCGCCCAAAGACCCTCCCTCTTTCCCTGGCGTGAACCCAGGCGGGGCCCCAGGGCCCCTCCCACTCCGAATCAGCCCCTTCACCTAGATGCTGGGACCCGCTTTGGAGTCACCTAAGAGAACTCCCCCGCCCATTCACTTCCACCCTTTTGGGATCCGAGGACCCTCCTCCTCAGTCCCTTTCTCCCTCGTGACACTAAGATTCCTGCTCCGCAGACCCGGGCGGCCGCCGTCACTCACGTCGCCCATCCACAGGCTTGCCGCCATGCCCGAGGCCCCGCCAGGACTTCGCTGGCCACCGAGGCTAGCGCGGACGCCGGACCGCCGAGCCGGAACCTCCACAGAGCATGCGCCTCCGACGCCTTCTGCGCACGCTCCGCAACTCGGCGCCCAGGGCCGCGCCCACGTGCCGCTCGGGGTCTTGCGGGATCCCTGTGGGCGGGTCTCAAGACTGGAGCCTGCAGGATGGGGCGGGGCAGACACTGCCTGGCGTTGGATGGTGAGTGGCGCGGGTGAGGGGCTTTCTCGGGTTTCTTTCTGATTTTATTTAAACACACACGTACATATAAAATCACAGAAGTAATTTTACGCTCGTTGTAAAAAATTGCAAGTATAAGCACATCTTTTTTTTAACAAGTGAAAGATCCCCTTTGGGAACCTGGACGATTCAGTCCCACTAACTCTGTGTGACGTCAGGCAAATTACCGACTGGCCCGCCCCAGCCACCCCTTCACCCCGCATTTCCCAGTTTGCAAGACATTTCTGTTGACGCTGCAATGGGATTCTTTCACCATTCCCGTGTATAGCCCCGGGGTGCGGGGAGGGTAGAGTTAAAGTGAGTGTAAATTAGGGTAACCCTGTCTTCCCAACCAGTCAAATCAATCCCCAAGTCTTGTCACTTTCTTGCGTCCACATCCCCTACACTAATCCAAACTGCCAGTTCTAACCTGTCCCAGAACAGTGACCTGCTATAGAAGGCCCTCAAGTAAACACGGATAATCCTGACAATTCGACTCCTAATCTGGGAGTGTCCCAGGCTGTAGCCTCAGTTTGATACCCATTTCTCAGAATGTGAAGCTTCTGTAGGTGGTAATTGTCATCTCCCATAGTGAAGGTCATCGCAAGTGCCTGAGGATCCATTTCTGGGGCTCCCTCTGGGTTGGTATAGGCCACCTCGGCCCTTCCTTACCAGCTTATACACCCCAAACTTGGGATGTTGGGCCCCAAAGTCAGGCACTCATGAGTCTAACGTCTTGGATCCAACCACAAGTTGCCAAATTCCAGCTTTATCCTATTCACTGCCATAGTAGTGTAGTGGTTGGGTGCTTTGGCTATAGATTTGAACAAACGGAGCCCAAATCCTAGTCCCCTCTCACTAATTATTTTGGCAGGTTATTTAAACTCTGAGACTAACGTGGATAATAACAGTGCTTACCTCATACCATGTTTGTTGTGAGGATAAAATGAGAAGTAGGGAAAAACACTTGCCCTAATGCCTGGCTTCCAGTAAGTTCTCCAACATGGCAATTGGAGGCCTTCAAATTGTAACTGGTAACTCTTTTATTTAGTACTATTTGCCAGCCCCTGTGCTGTGCTCTTTGCTTACCATTTTTAAAATTTATTTTACTGGGCTTCCCTGGTGGTGCGGTGGTTGAGAGTCCGCCTGCCGATGCAGGGGACACGGGTTCGTGCCCCGGTCTGGGAGGATCCCACATGCCGCGGAGCGGCTGGGCCCGTGAGCCATGGCCGCTGAGCCTGCGCGTCCGGAGCCTGTGCTCCGCAACGGGAGAGGCCACAGCAGTGAGAGGCCCGCGTACCGCAAAAAAAAAAAAAAAAAAAATTGTTTTACTTATGGAAGATTTTTAAATGTTTATTTTTAATTTAGAATGTAAGCTTTATCAGACAGGATTCCTTGTTCACGCTTTCTAATCAAATTCCCACAACCATGTCTGGGATATGGTAGGCACTGAAAAAAAATTTTTGAATTTATGTCAAACGATAAACAGTTGTCCCTTACCCCATCTATCCCTAGTCCCAACTTCCAGTCCCTTGAGGCAACCACTTCCAAATCTTTTCCCTAAAATCTGTGTATTTCTAAATAGTATACTTTCTTTCTTTTTCTTTTTCGGTATGCGGGCCTCTCACTGCTGTGGCCTCTCCCGCTGCAGAGCACAGGCTCCAGACGCGCAGGCTCAGCGGCCATGGCTCACGGGCCCCGCCGCTCCGCGGCACGTGGGATCTTCCCGGACCGGGGCACGAACCCGTGTCCCCTGCATCGGCAGGCGGACTCTCAACCACTGCACCACCAGGGAAGCCCTAAATAGTATACTTTCTATTCATTTGTAGTTTCAGATATTTTATTTATTTATTTTTAAGAAGATGTTGTGGGTAGGAGTTTATTATTTTTGGTGTGTTGCGTCTTCATTTCTGTGCAAGGGCTTACTCTAGTTGTGGCAAGCGGGGGCCACTCTTCATCGTGGTGCGCGGGCCTCTCACTATCGCGGCCTCTCTTGTTGCGGAGAACAGGCTCCAGACGCGCAGGCTCAGTAGTTGTGGCGCACGGGCCTAGTTGCTCCGCGGCATGTGGAATCTTCCCGGACCGGGGCTCGAACCCGTGTCCCCTGCATCAGCAGGCGGATTCTCAACCACTGCGCCACCAGGGAAGCCCCAGATATTTTAGGGACTGCCCCCATACATACACACTTCTCCATCTTCTGACTATAATTTGTCAAAACACTTAACATTTACATTATTATGACTTTGCAAATATTATTTATAGCTGAGCCATATGGGGTGATTACATTTGTTTTGGAGTAACCAATTCAGGTTGGAGGAGGATGGGAGAAAAGGTAAAATTGAGAATACCTGATGTGTTTGAACACAGAAAAGGGGATTTACACTTCTGATAGCGATATGAACACCGAATAAATGATACTTACGCCAAAAAACTAAGCATGTGAAAAACAAGGCAATTATTAACTACAGGGAACTTTAAAATGTTCAACGGTCATAACAGCAAAGGCTTGTGGGGCCTTTGCTATGTGCCTGAAACTGTTCTAACATATGTAAAGCACCTACAGAGAGCTTTATAACTCTTATGTTCAATACAAGGAAAAGAAACTGAGGTTCTGGGCTCGGGTGGAGGCTGATTTAAATTCTAGCCTAGTCTGTGCCACTTGGTAGCTTGGCCTCAAGCTAGACACTTGAACTCTCAGGGACTTTTTCCTGAGGGACAGCAATTCCCACTTCACAAGGCGATCAAATGAGCTATTATTGTATGCAAAGTGCTCGGGCACAATGCCTGGCCCCTTTAAGTCCCAATCCACAAGAGCTGTTATTAAGGATAGGGCACTTTCAACCTGCTATATTGTCAAAAGGGAAAACTTCAGTAAATCTAATCCAACTGGACTTTTTTGGGTGGAGTGGGCGTGGGAAGAGCAGACACACAGGTGCTTCTTCACAAAGAAAATACTAAAATCAAAAGTGTGATTTTTCCCTTCTAAGAAGTCAATTTCTAATCAGGATAGTACATGCATCAAAACTAAAAGTTCAAGGAAAAAAAACAATCACAGAATACATTTTAAGTTATTTTACATCATATTCATTTTTCCAAGAGTCACTGATATGGAAGAATCCTCCTGGTGCTAGTAAAACTTTCCTGCTCTAATATACAAACCTCCTATATCAGCACTGTTCACTGTAACTTTCTGCAGTTATGGAAATGTTCTATAAATTTCTGTATTTGCATAGCCCAGAACCATAGGCGCTAGACACTTCTGACTACTGAGGACTTGAAATGTGGCTAGTGCAGCCGAGGAAGTCCATTTTACATTTTTACAAATTTAAATTAAATGTAAACAGCCACATGTAGGTACTGACCACCATACTGGACAGGTCAGCTCTATATGATTTGGTTGCTCAAATGCCTGTGAAAATCTACGTCATTATGCATTAAGTTGTTACTGTGCAGTTAATCATGTTTAATTAGTTATACTAGCTTTTGAAATGATACAGTACATCATTAAACTTAGCATAAGTATTTCTAGAGATGTACTGTACTCAAAAATCTTGGTTTGGGATTAGGATATTAAAAGATCCATCCCATGTCTCACACAATATACAGTATAATTTTTTTAAAAATCCAGTGATTCCTGAAACATAAATACCTAACAAAAATCAATCAACTTTTTTTTATTTGTCTAGAACAGCCACTGTTCCATACAAAAAACAAAAAAACAAAAAAAAACCCCCAGCTGACTGGCACACACCAGGACCTCTTGACATCACTGAAGCCCTAGTCTTCACCAGGGCTACAGGCATGGGGTTATTCTGCCCATCCCAACACAGCAGGTGCTCCCTTAAAAAAGCAGGGAGCATGTAGAAAACAAGTGGCCTGTTTTATAAAACTCTAAATTTATTCAAAGTGTTAAAAGATTTCACTCTCCCCTCCAAAATACTTTACATTAAAAAAAAAATCAATATTCTCTTCTATTTTTTCAGCCTCTGTACAAGCTACTGCTTCCCTTTCTGGGGACCAGTCTCTGCCCCTCCAACCCTCTTCCCTGCCCTCCCTTCACTCTCAATATTGCTGTAAGTTTGCTTATAAAGCCCTCCTTCCCCTCTCCCCGAGGTCCCGCCCTGCAGGCATAGCTTCCTTTCTGGATTTCAGGCCCTTGGCTTGCAGGTGAGGCAGGTTGGATGGGTGGGCAGACAAGGCCTGAAGGGCAGAATGCTTTGTGCTTCTGGGAGAAAGGCTGACTGGCTTTTTTCTTGATCAAGCGGAGGATCACTGTTTTTCTTTTTGCCCCATGGGCACCTGTTCAGGGCCAAATATTTGGCTTGGGGTTGCCCATGGCTGGGTAGCCCTGCCCCTTCTCCAGTTTCCCCAGGCGTAGGTCCATGACAGCTGGGTCTCAGGACGGTACCATTTGTCTGTCTGTGGGTTGTGAAGGACAGGAAGAGTGGCACGTGACTAGAGCAGGGCTTGGCAGAGCCCCGACTTCTCAGAGTATGGGCACCAAACACGCAGGAGAGGAAGTTTTGGTTTTTGATAGGCAAAACCAGGGTCAGCCAGGACCATGGGAAATAGGGATGAGGGGGAAAGGTCTAACCACATAGCTGTGGGGTCAGCAATGTTCCTTCTGATTAAACCCCCCTCCCCTCTTCCATCTATCCCACCCTCATCCTGTAGGTCCCAGGATGATTCCGGGAAAGGAGGGAAAAAAAAGAGAAGCATTCTGTTCTGCTGATGGGAAAAAGGCAGGAGATGACAGAGTACTTGGAGCTAGAAGAGGCCTGCTGGAATATGTAGACATCATGGCTTCCTTGTTCCAGGAGGGAGGTGGGGGGGCCGGAAACCAGGCCCTCAGACGCTTCATCAACTCTGTTCCTTGTCCTTGACTAGTAAGACTGTGTGCTGGCCCCCGCTGGACACAGATAAGACCACACGGTTCTCCAACTGTTTGCCTGTCATCTCCACGGGGCTCCAGACATCCTCTTCCTGTCCTGTGCCCAGCTGGTAGTTGGTGCCCATGCCCCAGGCAAAAACACGACCTACAAAGGACAGAAATATGGGCAGCTGTATCTCCAGGGTCCCAAGCCCCACCTTTCTGTAGTGTGAGAAGCCTGGCACACGAGGGTGGATTTTGGCCTGGGCCTGTGGCAGCCTGGCAACGTCCCAGCCTCCGGGCGTTAAGGGAAGATGGGAGGAAGCAAGGAGATGATGGACAAAGAAGAGCTCTGTCAACCAGAGACCGCAGTCCTTACACACTGCCAAAAACTTCTGCCTGCTCCTAGGCGTGGCATTCAAGTCAATCACTGGCCATTTCCCAAACCCCCATATCACCTCCATTCCCAGGACCACCTGCCTTTGAGACTGCTCTGGATGCCCTCCTTTGCTTATCATAAAGGACTGAACCTTCACGGTGCAGTACAAGCCCCACTTCCTCAGGAACTCTTCCCAGATAATCCCAGGTCAAGCACCTCTGCCAGCCGGATTTCTCAAGGCCTCCATGGCTGTTCCACTCAGGCTTTGGTGACCACTTGTCCACACCCTCCTCTGCTGTACTTGCCAGGACCCCAACTACTAACCCCTCTTTCTCTAATAAAATTCTAAGTACAACCCCCTGGGAAGCCGGCACCTACTAGGTTGTAAATAAAAAGGGTCACCATGGTATAAAATGTAAACAGAAGCCTGAGTTAGGAGTCTGGAGACATGGGTTCAAGTCCTACTGCTTGTCTGGGCCTCAGTGATATATCTCCCTTTGCTGTTTTTCTCCTCTACAGAACAAATCACTTCTATTAAAATAACGTGTTTACCCATTTTGTCATCAAAGCTAGAGCTTCTGACAATCAGGCCAAAAGCAACATCACCACAAACAGTGTTCTCCACACCTCAGCTCCATCTGATGGTGGACATCAGAGGCTACTGGGCACTTCGGTAAGAACCACGACCACCAGACTCCAACCAGACCAACTGTGGGCAGCCCCACTCACCATCCTTGGTCACAGCATATCCCACAGAGGCCCCACAAGCCACCGAGGAGACGGCGGGCAGCCTGGAGATGAGGGTGGGTACGCTCTTCTCCTCGGCACCTTCCCCAAGGCCCAGCCGCCCATACTCAGCCCGGCCCAGGCTGTATGCTCTTCCTGTGGAGGAGGCAGAGAGACGAGGAGTAGCAGAGGGCATGCTCCGGGTAGGCCATTTAGCACTTATATCTGTGGGAGCTGGTCCCCCATTCCTAGGGTGGTGAGGTCTGAAGTGTCCTTTTCAGTTTTGGGGGAGGCCTGGGAGAACCCCCCCAGGCCCCCATTGAACTCACACGTGGAAGAACACCAGGACGCTGGGGGACGGGGGCGACCCTCGTGGACCCACAGCCAGCCCAGTCCATGGAGCAGGCCCAGGTTCCAAGCACCGCGATCTCCAGTGTGTGGCCAGGCCTGTGCCCAGGGAACACTCCACCTCCAACCCAGAGATGGACCAGGAGGCCCTACCTTCTGAATCCATGCAGACTGTATGGTGCTGGCCACCAGAGAAGCCCACCCAGGACTTCGTGGAGTTCTTGAAGGATGTCAGGTTCTGAGGTACAAAGCAAGATTCTGTGCCTGGGGTTCCTGGGGGAAGAGGCCAGGACAGAGCTGTCAGGCGTGAGGGTGTCCAAGGAGCTGCCTTCTTCTTCCCCTCCCAGTGTGGCCCCCACCCCACACCAGGGTATTTATATTCTCATTTTACAGATGAGAAAACTGAGGCTCTGAGGGGTTAGGTGACCCCACCAAGGGTGCACAATGAATGAGGGGTGGAGGCAGGACTGGAGCCCAGGTCACTCTGGGAGACCCTGGACGATGGGCTTGGGACTCACCTAGCTGATGGTAGTTGGAGAGGCCAAAGCCATATACATGGCCCTCAGAGGAGATGGCAAAGGTGAAGTAGGCACCACAGAAGGCATCCTGGAATCTGACATGGCCCCGGCTTCCCCTGGATTTCAGCATCACACACTTGGGGACCAGGAGTCGTTCTGCAGGCAGAGAGCAGGCCAGGGTCAGTGGCAGACACACACAGCCTCTCCTCTCTGCCCCATCTGTTTCTCCTTCACTGTTAAAGCCCTCGCAGGGAGGCTAGGCAGGGACTCTTGTCCCTATTATACAGAAGAGGAAACTGAGGCCAGGAGAGTCCAAGTGCCTCACTCAGACTCTCACAGCCATAGGGGTAACATTTACCTGGAACTTACCATGTGCCAGACAGTCTTTTATGCAAACTCATTTAACTTCACAACAAACCAGTGAGGTAGGTTTAGAGGTAGGTGGGTTTAGAGATGAGGAAACTATGTCCAGGGGCCCACAGCCAGTAGCTGGTAGAGCCACGATTCAAACCTGGGGTAGTCTGGCTCTAGAATCTGAGTCCTTAACTACCACCGCACGTCCACCTGATACAAGCCTGAACACAGAGAATCCCTTCTACCTCTGACCTTCACCGGGGGTGGCTTGCCAACTTGCCCCGCCAGAGGGACCTAAGCCACCTACCGAGGCCCTGCCGGCCACCACGATTAGCAAATAATTCAGGCACGCGGCCCAGTTGGCCCTGCTCCCCGCAGCCCAAAGTACAGAGGTCGCCATCAACTGTCAGCATCACCAAGTGGTCGTTTCCTGAGGGTGAGAGGAAGGCAAGGGATGCAGGGCTTGTCTGTAAGGGCCAAGGCTGGGCCAGCCCCCCAAAAAGGTTCTCCAACTCCTGCCCAGAGTGAGTACCTGCAGACTCACCTGAGGCCACCTTCACCACGGGCGTACTCAGCTGCACCTGCACAGGCACCATGCTCTTTTTCATGGGCTCCAAGAGCCCGATCACACCATTATTGTCCTGGAAGGGAGGGGCAGAAGAGTTTTCAGCCAGTTCTTCCTGCCTCATACCAGCCAGATCCAGCTTTGCAGTCAGCCACGGAGCTGTCTGGTGAAGGGCACTGGTGCCAGATGGAGATGGAGAAGTGGGCAGGAGCCAGGCCACATAGTGCAATACTTACGAATGAAATCATACATGGTCTGTGATTTGCATTAAAATAACAAAGGAGTTGGGGAACGGAAGGGAGTAAAGATGAAACAAGTTTGGTCATAAGCTGATAATTGTTGGGGCAAGCAGATAGAGTTCAATATAGTATTCTGCTTACTTTTATGTGTTTGAAATTATCAATAAAAAAATTTAAAACCAGCCCCAATGAGGAAACATCAGATTCCTTTATTTTTGACATTTCAAAATAAATTGAATACTAAAGTACCAAAAACAATTTTAATGCTGTATCTGCTTTTTAAACCACACTCTCCTGTCCTGGAAGTTCTGAGATGTGCCCCCAAACCCCTGAGAAGTGTGGAAGAAGGCTGGGAAGGCGGGGGGGAGGTTGAAGGCAGGGAGATGGGTCAGTAGGCTTCCTGGCTTAGCCTCAGCCCAAAGGCATCCTTGACCCACCCCTTTCCCAAGACGCACACATCATAACATCAGAGTCCAGGGAACAGCAGTGGTGTGGACAGGCCTGGATGAAGAAGCCAGAAACCTGGGTCTGGGCCCAAGCTCTGCCCAGGGCCTTGATTTCCCCAGTAAGTAAAACAGGGGTCTCATGATGGGTTATCTTTGGGGCCCCACCAGTTAATTCTGCCCACCAGCCCCCATGACGTCTTCCAGACCCAGTCTTACCCGGAAGGAGCCCCAAAGGAAGACACGGCCATCCTCGGTGAGGGCCGCTGTGTGACTGTCTCCTGCTGACACCTGTACCACCTTCTCTTGCAGTTCCACTTTCCCAGGGACCATCTCTGAGCCCTCCACTGATGTGTCCCTTCCCAGGGCACCCTCATCATTGCAGCCGAAGGAGTAGACCTGTGCCCAGGATGCCCCCATTAGTGCAAGGCCTGGCCTCTCCATCCGTTCTTGTTCAGGCCAATCCCTGCTTGTCTAACCAGCTCCATCTCCACAGAGTAATGCGTGCGGTTCAAAGCTCCTTCCCCAAGCCCCCTACTAACCCCAGGCCCTGTCCCATCCTGTGCCACGCCCAACCTACCTGGCCACTTTTGCTTAGACACACAGTGTGCATGCCCCCAGCCTCAGCTTGCACGATGTCCTCTAGAATGGGCACCAGGGCTGGCTTCTTCCTCTCCATCACATTCTCGCCCAGCCCCAGCTGGCCCACGTCGCCCTGGCCCAGCGTCAGCACCAAACCCGGTTCTGTGTTGTGGGACCTATGTGAGACTGAGGGGTGAAGGAGACAGCCCCTGAGTGTGTAGGATGATGGGAGAGAGGAGAGGTCACTGCACAGGCTCTGTGATCACACAGACCTGGGTTCAAGCCCCTGCCCTGCCACAGACCATCTGACCTCTCCAAGCCTAAGTTTCCTCATCTGTGAAACGAGGATAACAAAAGTACTTATCTCATAGGGTTTTTGTGCAGATTAAAAACTGATCACATTATTAATGTGAGTGGAAGGAAATGGAAACGAGACACTCAATATCGGCAAATGAATCTTGGTGGAGAGGGTTAAAGAACAGTGGGGACACAAGCTAGTTTTCCTGATAGGTTGTTCTTGGTCGGGAACCATACAATCAGGGCATAATAACGTCTACCCCTTTACCGACTGCTTACTAGTGTTAGACTGCTTTGCAGCCCCTCACATTATGCTAGAGACCTTCCATTCTTAGGATCCCACTTTACAGAAAAGGGAAGAGTCTCAGAGAAGGTCACAGAATAATTAGTAGAGTTTGCAGTGCATCCTCAGGCTGTGACTTAACCCCTGGACATAGGTACACTGACCCCCACTCCGCTCCTATGTGGGAGCGGACAGGCAGCTGAAAAGGAAGGGGTAGGAGTTAAGAGCCCGCACAGGCTTTTGCAGAGAGGAACACGCCAACCAGTGTGCGGCACAGGGCCATCTGGTGGCCAACAGCGACCGCCCGTAGCCCCGGACAGCCAATGGCGTCCAGCCCCTCCCCCTGGGGGTGTGGCCAGGCTGCCAGGACTGCTGCGGCTGCGCAGAGGGTGCGGGTGCGCTGGGCAAGCAGCCACCTGGTCGGGCTTTCTGGTCAGGAGGGCTCGGCCCGCAGGCACCTTGGCAGGAGCGGGCGCCTGGAACGCGGCGGGAGGCAACGACCCTCACTGCCTGGTTACCAGGGTCTGCAAAAGACAGACAGTGTCTGAGTGTGGGTCCATATTCCCCCCTCCCAGATTGGGGGTGGCTCTCTCTCCTCCCTGACTCCCTCCAGGGTCCAAGGAGAGAGGAGACCACAGCCACCTCCCTCCAGTGCTACCAGGACATGATCTCATTTTCCTCAGGACAGCCCAGTGAGGTTGCCCATTTTATGAATGGGGTAGTAGTCCAAGCTCAGTGAGGTTAGTGATTTGCTCAAAGCTATATGTAGCTAGAAAGTGGCAGAGCCAGGACTTGAACCCAGTCTGGAGGTCAATGGTCTTAACCATGATGCATTACTGCCTGGGGCAAAGCCCTAGGGTCTATTTTTTTGCCAGTATCTGAGTGCTTTTAGGCAAGTCCCTGCCCCTTTAAGATTCCCAGAGGGTGGGATTCAGTGAGCTACAGGAGACTCTCCAGCTGGGTGGAGTTCCTGGACTTCCAGGCCCCTCAGCTTCAAATCTCAGGGAGAAAGGAGCCCAGTTCCAGATTCTGGGGGTGCCAAGAGGCCACCCATACTGAAGTAGAGGCCAAGGCCAACTTACCCTTCACCTTCTTGCTTTTGGGGAGGGCATCTTCGGGGGGTGACCTTCTCTTAGTTATACGCTTGGGTGGCATCTTCCTGTCCTGAAAAACCCAGGCAAATACTCCATGTCAGAAATGGCAATCATTTTCCTGCTCTAATTAGGCAATATTCATCAAAAACTCTAAAAAGAAAAGTGAGAAGAAATGCCCAGCAATTCCACTTCTCAGAATTTATCTGAGAAGAACCAAATAATAAATACACCCAAAGATTAAGATCCACAATATTCTCTACTGTATTCTTCATAACATTAAAAAAACAACAAACAATGGAGCAACCCATACACTCAGGAGTAGGGGACTGGCTAGATAATATGTGGTATATTGATGATAAAACAGGACGAAGCCATTAAAAGTGATGCGTTCAGAGATTTATTTACTGAATCATTGCCAAGTAATATAAACAGATTGAAAAACAGCCCATCATCCTATTTGTGGAAAAGAAAAAGCATACACATATAAAAATGTGTGGAAGGAAATACATTCCATATTGGTAATGGTAACCTCTGGAAAATGGGATTATGGACAACTTCTACTTCTTTCTTTGTAGTTTACCTATATTATCGAAGCTACAAGAAACATTACATGTATTTTTAAAATTTTATTATAAAAAATTAAAACATTGAAGAACATTAAGTGAAGTATCCCTCACAACTCCTCCCAACCCCAACATAACCACTAGTAACTTCGGTTTTACATAACTGCCATAATCAGACCACACACACACAAAGCTGTTCTCATTAAATAAAAGCAAACCAAACCATCTGTGCCCTTTGATCCAAAATGCCACCACTCCTGGGAGGAACTTGGCTTTCCTCTAAGCAGTCCAACAAGAGACAAACACTGTATACACACTCACACCAACAGACGGTGTTACAAAAGGGGGAAAGGAAATCACCTATGGGTGACAAAAAGGGCTGTTGCACCTAGCACGATCCCGGGCAGCTGAAAGCCTCAGCCCTGAGCCCTTCACTCCTTAAACTAACTGCTGCTGCCTTGTCTCCTCAAGACCTCTGAGAACTGACTTTCTCCACGGCTATCTCAATTCCAATCCAGCCCAAATTGTGTCGAAAGCCTTTCCCCCCCCACATAAGCAGCTTTGGAAATAAATCTTTATTGAGCCCTGGTCTTTAAGGTTATGAAAGACAGTTCAGCTGTCTAAGCCTTAGGCTCCCAAACTCTAATGAGGGCAATTTGCAGCTACCCAGATGCAAAAGTGGTAGAGCAAGTGGTGGTTAAGAGGAGCCAGAATATGCGCTCAGCTGCTTTCTAGCTGTTTGACCTTGGACAAAGTTATTTAATCTCTTCATGATTCAGTTTCCTCCTCAGTAAAACGGGGATAATAATAGTACCCACACCCTGTTGTGACATCTATGACTAATTGAGCTAGTACTGTAAAAGTAATAACATAGTAAGTGCTCAATAAATCGATGCTGGTGTTATAACATCCAGGGTCTGTCCCAGGTGCTGCTCAGGCACAGCTCTAATCTAATCTAACCCACCTCTCCTCCATTCTACGGAAGAGGGATGGAGACTCTACCCAAGGCTACAAATGGAAAGAGAACTTCAAGAGACCTTCTCAGGCTCCTCTGTGGGCCTAAACAGCACCCCATTCTTCCTCCCTCCCTCCCTTCCTTTCTTCCAGTAGGTCCTAGAGCCTCAGCCTCTCCAGCTCCGCATTCCATGGTATATGAACACAAAGGGAGTGGCCTGGAATTTCCAGGCCATTTTTGCTGACTATCCTGGGGGAAGAGAACAAAGTACCGAAGATGGCAAAATAGCCAAAGGCCTACAATCCGTCAAGGCTGTGTAGGTTGAGCCTCTGCAGGTTGAGCTTCTACAGGTTGTGACTGGCCCAGTTTTGACTCTGTTGAGGCATTTCTGTGTTTCACCCAACTTCTATTCTCCCAGGGTTGAACTCCTCCCCTCCAAGTAGCCTCTTTGAAACCCCTTTTCCCACATTAGAAATGCACATTCCTTAGGATAAAGGGAATTGGATTCATCTGCCAGAGCTGTGGTTTGTTCAACCCTGCTTCTGTGACCATGGTTGACCTCTATGGCAGCTTTTTTTTTTTACATTTATTTATTTTATTTATTTACTTTTGTCTGCGTTGGGTCTTCATTGCTGCGCGCAGGCTTTCTCTAGTTGCGGCGAGCGGGGGCTACTCTTTGTTGCGGTGCGCGGGCTTCTCAGTGCGGTGGCTTCTCTTGTTGCAGAGCATGGGCTCTAGGCGCACGGGCTTCAGTAGTTGTGGTATGCGGGCTTAGTTGCTCCGCGGCATGTGGGATCTTCCCAGACCAGGGTTCGAACCTGTGTCCCCTGCATTGGCAGGCAGATTCTCAACCACTGCGCCACCAGGGAAGTCCCTCTCTAGCAGCTTTAACCTCTCTGAGCTGTACCCTCATCTGTAAAAAGGGAGGCAATGACCACTTCCAGGGCTGTTGTCAAGACTAAATGAAGCACTTCCCTGGTGGTGCAGTGGTTAAGAATCCTCCTGCCAATGCAGGGGACACGGGTTTAATCCCTGGTCCGGGAAGATCCCACATGCCACGGAGCAACTAAGCCCGTGCGCCACAACTACTGAGCCTGTGCTCTAAAGCCTGCAAGCCGCAGCTACTGAGCCCACGTGCCACAACTACTGAAGCCCGTGTGCTTAGAGCCCGTGCTCCATAACAAGAGAAGCCACCGCAATGAAAAGCCCGCACACCACAACAAAGACTAACCCCCGCTTGCCGCAATCAGAGAAAGCCCGCGCCCAGCAACGAAGACCCAGCACAACCAAAAAAAAAAAAAAAAAAAAAGACTGAATGAAATGTTTGTAAAGGACTTTGGAGTGCCAAGCACACAGTAAGTACTCAATACGTGGCAGCATGTACTCATTCATTCCATGAATGCCTATTACCACTGCCAGGTGTAGCAAGGAAAAAGAAAACTAACCCTCTCCCTGTTCTCATGGAGCTTAATTCTAGTGGGAAAGACACACACACACACAGAGTATTATTACAGATGGTGTTGTGTGAAGGATAGGCAAGGCACAACACTGTAAACGTACTTAATGCCACTGAACTATATACAATTAAAAATGGTTAAAATGGTCAATTTTATGTCATGTGTATTTTACCACAGTAAAAAAAAAAAAAAGCGAGAAAAACTGGGACGGGGGAGGAGATATAGGTCAGATAGGTAACATTTGGGCTAAGGCTTGAAATACTAGCAAGAGAAAGCTAGCAGGGGAAGACCCGGACAAAAGCATGTGATGTGCTCAGGAACCTGGGGAGGCCAGCAGGGCTGTAGGTGGACAGCGATGGATCACATGGCACAAGGGGAGCAGGCGACGGATCGTACAAGGCCTAGTAGGGAAAACAGAAGAGTTTTAAGAAAAATGTCTTAACGATTGTTCTGGCTACTGTAGAGAAAATGCAGTGGCTTGGAAGAGGAGGAGATTGCAGGCATCCAAATGAGAGAAGTCAGCGACTTGATTTGGTCTGAGGCAAGAGAGAAAAGTAGACAAAACAGATCAATTTAGGAGACAGGCTTGCTTTGCTGGTGGATTAGATGTGGGGAATGAGGGTGAGGGAGGAAGCCAGAATGACTTTTTCATCCTAAAAACCCAGCCTCCCTGATCCCCCATGAACTTGGCCAAACACAAGGACCCCCCAGGCTTTGGCTTAAGTGAATAAGTAGATGGTCGACTTCCAGTTACTGAGAACACTGTGGGACAAACAGGAGAGGAGAGACTGAGAGGTCCACCTCACCAGGCGTTTTTGTTAAGTGTGAAGTGCGTGGGAGCAGACCAAGAAGGGATGTTAAGTAGGCAGAGCTGGATGGGTTAAGGAGTGTGGGACGTAACAGGTATCCACTGTTTCTTGTACCCCTGGCCAGGCTGCCAGCCAGTTCACTGTGTCCAGGGCCCTGTCCCACCAAGGGCATATTTCCCGTCAGTTCATCAGAATGACCTGTACCAGTTAGCTGTGCTGGGCAGGGAGACTGTTTAGTAGCATGGAAAAGTACTTACAGCCAGAAGTGAGAAAAAAGGGAACAGAATAATATCAGCACATCGCTGCTGATGTTGGGCTGACCTGGGGGCAAAGCCTGGGGTGGAGAAAAATAAAGGCTATATGAGGTATTTGGTGTCATGGGTCATTAACCAAAAAAAAAAAAGTGTTAGTGTGGGTTGGAACAGACCCAGGCAATATCTCCTTAGCCACTTGTGTTTTGGGCTAATATTCTGGGGCATCTCACTGCAAGCTAACCACACTGATTCCACTTTACAGATGAGGAAACTGAGGCTCAAAAAGGTAAAGTGTCTTACCCAAGACTGGACGAGGAAATCAAGATCTGTACCAAGTACCTAGTCACTCAGACCCCAGGGCTGGTGCCCCTACCTACTTCCTCCCCACACTCCCCAGTCCCTCAGCCTGTCTGAGAACTCTCCCTCATACTCTCTCCCCCAGAAAAGACAGAAGCTTGTCTCTCATTTCCCTACTGCCCACCCCCATCGCCATCCCGCTCTACAAGCCATTCATGATCTTTTAAAACCTCAAACCTGAAACAAGCTGCTTCCTTGCTCAGACTCCTCAGTGGCACCCTCTGCCCACATTTCTTAACCTGGTACTAAAGACCTCCAGGGTCTGATACTAACACGACTTTTGGCCTCCTACCTTATCTGTCACATCGTCCCTTCTCTTCTCACACAATCTTAGACTGCCTACTATTCTCTCCATACCATGTGCATCTCTGTACCATCCCATCCCTATCCTACTAGAAGAAGTTCTGCTCAAAGTCACCTCCATTGGTAAGCCACCTCTGATCCCTCTCTCAATCCTAAAGGAATCATTCTCACAGAGAAATTAGGGCAGACTTTTAGATCATGATTATTTAAATTTACCTGTCTATCCACCATATCAATCTGCTCCTTAAAATGAGTCTCTCTGGGACACTGGTCTCGCCTACTTTCCACATGCCAACAACCTTTAACTTCTCACAACAAGCTGAAGAAGGCACTGTCACTCCTATTTCACAGTTGAGGGAACTGAGGCTCAGA